TCGCGGGGGACCCGGCTGCGCGCCCCGAACCACTGCGAGCCGCCGCCTACACTGCCGTCAGTGGCCCGGCCGCGTTGTGCGTGCGCCCGAGTGTGGCGGTGTGCGCGCGCAGGGGTGTGCGTCCGATTGTGAGCCCAAAATGTGGGTGGCGTGGGCGTGGGCCGGCGCGCTCCCCGCTCCCCTGCGGAAAGCCGGAGACCTGGGCCCCGGCCCGGCTCCTGTGTGTCGGCGCCTCGGCCTGGCCGGGACTGCGTGGGGGCTGGGCGGCATTTAGGGGGGGCCCTCCTGCCGGGTTGCCCCTGCAATGGCATGTGATGATTGTGGTTGCAAGATGACAGCTCCCCCGTGAGGGCCCGACGGGGGAATGTGTGTGCGCCCGGTTGTCTCTGAGCCAGTGTGTGCCCAAAATGCAAAAGTGAGGGGAACGCGAAGCCTCCTCGGCATCCTTTGAAAAGAAAAACCCTAACACTAAAGCTCAGCCAACCCAGGACAACTGGAACAAGATCCTGATTAAAATTCAGAATGAGTCGATTTAACTGACCCTTTATCTGGCGACTATAGTTCTGGTTGTTGAAGGAACACATCAAAGGTGCTTATTAATCGTTGGACATGTAGCCATCAGGCTTGTCCTGAAAAAAGGACATGGTTTTAAATTGTTTTACAAAACGTTTCCAAAACTTCAGAATAGGAGACGGAAACGCTTAGCTTTCCCAAGACTGTGTCACAGTGAGGGTGCAGTGAATCCCTGGCCCACCACCCCTCAGTTTAGCCCTGGGGCAGAAGGTCATGAGCTTCATCTTGCCTTTAGAAGGGTTTCTTGTCCATGGATAGAATTTCAGGGCATCTGTGAACTTGGATGGGGAAAACTTAACATCTTTATTTTCACTAACCTGTACCTGCAACTTAGCATTCCATATTAGAAACACAGGTAACCAACTACAGTGGTATTAACCATACCTGTGACTTTGTCACCAATAGCCACCAAACACAGATATTTTCTTATCACATTTTCTTATCATGTTTCTCAAATATACCACTTCTTGCTCATCACTATTCTGAAATTAAAGTAGTCAAGCCCACTGCTAGTTATTTAATGAATTAATTAAAAGGCACACATACCACTATGTTGCAAAGTTGTTTTAAAAAATTTTTTGATAATTCTATTTGAATGTAATTGGCTTCCTCTGTAACCCTGCATATTAAGAACATTCTTTTGAAAAACAGTCTGTGGGCTTCCTCCGATTGAGTTAGGGGTTCAAGGCCTACATAAAAGGTTTAGGAACCCTTCTGAGGGAAGGAAAGGACCTCTTCAAACCCATATTCTTCCAGCAAGTTCCAGGATACTGTCCATACTACATTTCTAAGGACTATTTGCAAACTTGCAAACATACTGTTCCCTTTACTTGGTAACTTTGGGCTCCCTGAGCCAAAATAGTTACTTTTCTTGGAGGACTCACAGTACAATAATTGAAAAATTGCTGGAGAAAGCTTCCGTTTGGTGTGTAAAACACAACCCATTTGTAATTTTTCAAAGTCTTGCAGTATCAAATTAGAGGCCATCCTACTGAAAGCCTCGGAACCTCAGGCCTGTAGCTTTTGGAAAACGATAGAGAAGGATTTTATTTCTTTTGATAATTTGCACACATCACGTTCAACTTCCCGTTAGTATAGCTCCCGTTTGTTCGGTGAAACAGTTTTCAAAAACGGTACGCCTGGAGGTGAGATGACCTGTCACAGTCTTGGACTTGATGAATCTCCCCTCGAAAATGATCCACACCAACTTTTACTGCTCCCTTCCCCCAGCCCCACCGCCACTTCCCTCCTTCTCCCTGTGCCCCTCACTTCCCCTCCGCCCCCCTTTCCCCTTCTCCCCCAGAATGCCTCTGACCTGTACCGGCTGGGGGTAACCTCTGCTCATGGGTAGTTTTGTCTCTGCTGGGGCCATACACAATCGAGGCCTGTGAAAAGGAGTGTGAGTCCGCAGGAGGCCGGGACAAGCTGGGCTATTCGGGGTCTGTGTCCATTAAAGCCTCCTTGCTCTCCTTAACTCATTCCCGCTCCATTCAAGCCAGCCTGAGGGTCAGGCTTTAGCCAGCACTAAAACCTGTAGGGTACAGATTCTCTGACATTGTTGGGAAAGAATTAAGGCATCAGCTGGGGACGGCTAATATTTCTTGCCTCATTTTATTGCCGAACAGCGGGACTGTAAAGTCTTGAACACTGGAGCACTATGGCCCCCTTTCATGTAGCCGAGATGATGGGATAAAAATGTGTTTGGTGAAGCAATTCAGATTACCACCGGGTCACATCCTCGCTGGCTCCCAGCATCGCCTGCAAACAACATCGCTGAGACAAGAAACAATCGCTGTGCAACTTCAGCTCAGGCAGAACAGTGTTACTAGCGTGGAAATGAGGCTAACTGTGGAGCTTGCCAATGAGAATGTTTGGTTTTTAATCGCTCAGGCTGCAGCTCAAAACAAGAGTTGAGATGGCGGACGGTGGATTCAAGTCCCGAGAGCTGTGATTTCTCGCAGCTTCTTACTAAAATGATCCTGGTCCTGGGAGCTTCCGATGCTATTTTTACCAGGGTCTCTGAGGGCTTGAACTTGCCGTCAGGGTTGGAGAGTGTTCTCTCTAGGGTGATGAGAGGTTGTTTGGGGAACCTCGGTCTCCCAGGCCTATCTGCCACGTGCTCTGGGGTGGCAGGGTTTCCTTAGGCTCAGAAAGCCCTGAGCCTCCATAGTTATAAAGCGCCACACTTGAGTACAGGAGAAATCAAACCCTGGATAGTCTGGGAAGCAAGCTGATTCTGTTTCATCTGGAACCTCGCCCCAAGTAAACCCCAAAGGAAATGTTCCTGAGCAGCTGTTTCAAGATATTGTCCAGTTACCTTCTGGGAGAGTCATTCTGTGGGTCTAACTAGCTCTGTCACCCTGGGACGGCCCCATCATCTCTTTGGAACCCTGGCTGCCTCCTGTTTAAATGAGAAGACTGACCTCCCGGCCGTTTCGGCTCCAAAATGCTACGCCTGAGTCTGTGGACGCATGTCAACTCATTCTTGGAAATGAGAGCATCTCCATGACCTTTTAGAGTCAACTGGGATGAGGTTCATATCCCTATTTTCACCCCTTCCTTGCCGTATGGCCTTAAGCAAGTTACTTGACTTCTCTGGGCCTTGGTTTCTCAACTCTAAACTGGGGACAAGAGTAGGATATTAGGAGTATCATTGGTAAGGTTTTAACATGAGATGGTACTAAATAGCATTGATCCTTGTTAACTACCCTTTTTATTTATCATGTGTTCCAAAGAGGTTGTAGCCTATTTAAAATAGATCCAGATTCTGTGAGATTTGATGAGAGGTTCAGCCTGGCCATTCCTTGTTCTGTAGAGGAAATGCATTTCTTAGCGCACAGTCCCAAGAGCTGAAAAGATAAAGAAAAGGAAAGAGAGTGTTTCCTTGTTTAGGAAGTCACAGACCCCCTACTAATGTGCCTTTATCATCAGTGTCTGTGGGTCCCCATCCAAAGATAGGGTGGATGATTCATGCCTCTTCATCTAGATTTCTTAAGCTCTTGGCCCTTAGGACAAAAGAAATGAGAGCAAATCCCTCTTCCCATTTGGGGCATGAGCTGTGAAAAGGAGGCTGAAGGGTTTGCTGGGGCGCTAGAGACAAGAACCCCAGGGCCTCCCCCAGGCTGCCAGGCCCAAGTGTAATAAATCTGTGAAATAACAAGCACAAAAGACTTTATAATCAATGACAGATTTTATTTTTGTTCTGGCAAAAGCTGTCCACGGAGTTAACATTTTATAGGGAAATAACTACCCACTTTGTGACTCCTCCCCAGCCCATATTCTCTTTCTGAAAGTTGGGAACAACTCAGAGAATCAAAGTCGGCTCCTCAGAGAACCGTGGCAGAAGAAAGCATGACTTTCCCTGGGCGGGAACCCAGCTCTCCCGTTACTTCCGAGGGTGGCTCTGGCCATTCATTTCTGTTTTGCTAAAATACCCGTGACATGTGAATAAACCAGGATTACAGAACATTGTCTCGGTCAGTAATCTGAGCCGGCATGGGCTCTGGTTTGATGAAATATGGTGCTCTCTGAGCAAACATGGGAATTGGTATTACTTCTCGTTAAAGCTGAACAGTGGGACTATTTAGAGCTGATGCATGAATGCTGCTCTGTGGGGAGTGACAATCTGAAGGGAGCTGGTTTGGGGGGATGGGAGCGGTGGTGTGGGTGGGTTGGCCAGAGCAAGCCAGTTAGGAGTTGGCGGGGAGGCTGCCAAAGGGACACTTTAGAAATCAGGACCCCTTAGGGGCTGCACCATCTCCTTACGACCCCAAAATAAGCTTCCTTGGAACCTTGGTGGGAGGGACCAAGCCTGATGTCCTTGTGCTGGCATTCAAACCCTCATCATCTGGCTCATTTGTCTCCGTCTGTCTTGGTAGAGCCTTTCTGTAGTTGCTCTCTTCCTGCCAGTCCCCTTGTGTCCCAGAATTCAGAAGGGCCCACATGCTCTCAGTACACATCCCAGCCTCCC